AGTGGATAGAGCTGTGGCCTTGGAGTCAGGAGGACCTGAGTTCAAATGTGAACTCAGAGATTTGACACTTACTAGCTGTGTGACCCTGGGCAAGTCACTTAACCCCAATTACCTCACCAAAACAAACCAAAAAAGCAACAAAGTCTTTTGCTCACATCATCTCATTGGATCCTCTCCCAAATCCTATGAGAATCAGAAGTGCAAATACTATTATTTCAATTTTACAGATGAGGAAATTGAGGCTGAGAGGATGTGCTAAGTGACCTTTCTTTGACCATATAGCTAGTGAATGGCAGAGATAGCCTGTGAACCTAATCTTTCTGACTCCAAGTCCAGTTCCTTTCTGCTGCATCATGTCTTTGATCATTTCCTTTTTTATTAGATCATAACTCATAGTGAGTACTTGAGAAGGAGTGGCTGAAAATTGTATTTGAGGAATACGAGGTAGATAGTACAGTCACTACCAAGTGAACAAGAACTTTGTACAATGGACAGAGCAATGGATTTGAAATCAAAGGTAGTTCCAATCCAGATTCTGCTACTGCTCACTACTTGTGTTATTTTGGGCAAGTCTGGGCCTCAGTTTGCTCATTTGTAAAATGAGGAGGTTAGGTTAAACAATCTCTAAAATCCCTTTTAACTTTAAATCTATGACCTTATGAACTAAAGGTCTGAGTGACAACTGAGGAAACAGAAACATTTTTATTTTATGTGGTCTATAGGATATAATATTTTACATGACAATGGGGATATGTAGTTATGTTATAACTCGATATATGTTACAGCTAATGTCTTCGGGAGGGATTGTGTGCTTAAGCTTATTCTATTGAGAGGTATTTTGTTTTTGTTGAAGAAAGGAAACTTTTTTGCTTTGGTAAATTAAAAATGTTTATATTTCAGTGAAGATACTTGCATCTTATACTTCTTGCTTTTCACTTCAGGAAACAAGATTTGGTTAAAACTTCCATTTACTAAGGGCAGAAGAACTTTTTTGGACAAACATTTAACCTTTGGAAAGAGAATAGTACTTAAAGTACAATCCTCAAATTTGCTAATTGTGCTTTCTTGTTTCAATGATTAATCAATTCTCTGTCTTCAGTTGTAATTGTTAACTACTTAATAGGCAACTTTATGAGAGGATGTAAGTACTAAAGAATTTTATACTTGTCATGCTTTGCCATTTGACAGATAATTCTGGGTTAGAGTGAATACATCGATTCTGAATTCTTTACTCTGTACCATAGGGTCATTATGTATTTGAGGCCATCCATACCTAGGGCAGCTAGGTGGTGAAGTAGATAGAGTGCTGGACTCATCTTCATGAGTTCAAATCCAGCCCCGGGCATGTACTAGCTGTGCAACCCTGGACAAATCACTTAAACCTGTTTGCCTCAGTTTCCTCATCTGTAAAATGAGCTGGAGAAGGAAATGGCAAACCACTCTAGTATCTTTGCGAAGAAACCCCAAATAGGCTCATGAACAGACTGAAATGACTGAACAAAAATGCTTAGAAAACATGTAACAGAAAATATTCTTAGGCTATCTGGAGAATAAAGTAATTATATAATTTTATAGTAAGCTTCATAAGAGAAGATAAATAAATAATAGAGGATTTTTACAGTTGTCAGCATTCTTTACAACCATTTGTTGGGTAATTCTGGATTGGAATGATTGCATCAACTCCTAATCCTATTTTCTATACCATAAAGTCATTATGTATTTGAGGCCACCCATACCTAGGAAATGTGTAACAGAGAATATCCCTGTGCTATCTGGGGAATGAACAACACAATGAAATTGTTTTTCTTCCCCTTCATTTCTTGCCCTTAGGATCCTCTGATATTCCCCTCTTTGAATGTGAAATGGAACAGAGCAGTTACTCTGACTTAGTTGAATGATATGTTTATACAGGAATGTGTGGTCCAATGCTGCCTTCAAACTCAACCCAGTGGCTTCTTAAAATGGAGATCCCACTTCCTCCTCATTTCTCCCCCTTCTAGTGTTGACATTTTTGACAGACAACAGCTTTTCTTCTCTAATTTAAGCTGAAATGGAGTTTTATTCATGTGTTCTCCAAACAGGACTATATTATAGGAAGTTTCACTACTTGCTATTTGCTTAGGTAGTGGCCTCAAGGCCATAGCACTGATATTTTCACTGCTGTATCTAATTACAGTGTTGAATTGATGCCAGTTGAAGATACTTGTATACAAAGTAGTGCTGTATGGGCCATTCTGCCCATTTGGGGACCCATTTCCCGCTCTCAAAGATTTATATAGAAAATCATTTTCCAGATGCTACAAGTCACATAGCTGCCCTATTTTACATTTTACTAACAATGCAGAAGCACCTGGCATCATACTGTATTGGTTGGAGGCATTTTTGATGGTCATAGTATATCAGATTTAAACTCTAGCCTGAGGCTGTACAAGGAGTTCAATGAAAGTGTCTAATGGCTCCCTCCCCTATGTGTTCAGTCCCTGGAGAGATTAGTTTTCCCTCTGCCTCATCCCTTTTTCCCACCCTCCAATATTTACAGGACTTAGTTTATTGACAAGTGTGTGTATAAATCTGTGCAAGACAGATTACAGTGGAGCATGTTAACTTTGCTAGTCAAGCATGGTTTAGGGGAATGCTGCTCCAGATTTTGTCCAGGAAATACATTTTATTGGTGTTTGGTCCTAATGTTTTCCTGTCCGGAAACCTTCCCCTTTGGCTGAGCTGCTGTGGAATGCGCCGTCAAGGGGAATCTGCTTTCCCCTGGCCCAGTTGGATATATGTATTCCTGTTGATATATGCTCTAAAGCAAGGTAGAATTTGTGTGTGTTTGAGTGTGTACATGCATGTGCATGGTTGTGTATTTTTTAAAGTTTAAATTTAAAAGGAGGGAGGGTTTGATAGGTACCACTTGAGCCAGGCCAGGTGTGTTTGGGTGCTGGTAGATAACATATCCTTATCCTCACAGGATAATTCCTGAATTGCAACAATTCTTGTTTTATTCTTTTAAATTTTATGATAGTTTTTAGTAAAAGGAGCAGGGAAATTGACATTGTTTAGATGAGAGTGGCACATGACCCTCCTGAAATAACACTTGATTCAGAGTCCAAAGACCTGGGTTCAGATAGATGTTGGTTCTGCTAAGTCAAAACTTCTCTGTGCTTCACTTTCCGCATCTCCGAAATGAAAGGTTTGTACTAAATGGCCTTTAAGATCCCTTCCAGCTCTAAATCTTATGCTCTTATGATCCCTTGTGCCCTAAAATGTGGATAATGCTTGAGACTACAGCTACAGAAATGAAGGGTTAGTTCCTTGATTTATTGCGTCACTAATTTCACCCTGGTTTTGGAAAAGGAAAGAAAAGAGGAAATGTCAACTTGCTGAGTATATGGATAATGGAAACACATGAGCTGTTTCCTCTCTTTGGAATGAGCTATTCTTCTTCCTCATCTATCCACCTGTCCTTCAGGATGTAGCTTTAGTCCTGCCTCTTCCATAAAGTCCTCCCCAACAGTTCCCAACCCTCCTTGGCTGCTCCAATCCACCTTGAGCTCTTCCTTCTCAGAACTCCTATAGCACTTATTGCTTCTACCCTCATAAGGAGTTTTGGTCATATATTGCCTTGTGTAACATCTTCTATGAATTCACTATCCCAACCCCCCATTCTCTCTGGTGGGATGGGTCCCCAGAGAGTGCTTACTCTTTCTTCCTTCAGGATTCTAGGGGTAACCATGAGGGCTTGTAGCTTCTAAGATTGATGCTTTCCATTAACCAGTTGACATCAATTACCTTTTCCAAAGAGATATTTATTAAGAAGGCATAGCAAGGACTGAAGCACAAAAATATCCCTCCGCCCAAAGTCAGGGGGGTGAACTCTTTCCTGGGAAGAATGGGCTTAAACTTGAAGCACCAATTACTGAGGTACATGTGGGGAACGTGTTGTGGTGAGGGGTGCCTTAGGTCTCCCGGCCCGGGAAATCTTTTTTCTGCTTTCTCTGAGTTTCCATCATTGCAGCAGTAGCTGAGTGTAGTGAGGAGCCAGTCCTGAGGAGTGATCTGCAGAACCCAGTCCAGCACTGACTTGTCAGCTGAACTGAGTTAAGCAGGTTACTCTTCAGGGCTGGTTCTTTGCTACATTCAGCTATGGTTGCTACTGGCTCCAGTGGTCTCTGCTACTGACTCTAGTTACTGAGGGGAATTCTGAGGGCTCTTTTGACTTTTAGAAGTCCATAGACTCATAGCCTGGGTGGCATTCTTTCTCCAGCTACTCCTTTATTTATAATCATCAAAGAATAAACATGAAAGAACCCAGAGAAACAGAGGTACTGAAGAACATGTAGTCGCTTGGTAGGAGATAAGGCAGCCTCCCACCCACCAATATCTCATAGCAGTGTGCTGCTCACTAGAAAGCCACCTAGGAAGTGAGTGAAAGATCATTTGCTGGAACTTTTTACACGCACACTTAGTTCTAATCAATGAGAAGACTTTTTATCACTACAATTCCTAAGTAATTTTCATGAAAAAGAAGGCTCACCAAACCTCCACATGCTGGACTGAAACCAAGTGAGGGATATTGCACAAACATCAAGTACTTGGCTCTCACATATTACATTTATGTTGTTTCTGGGTTTTTTTTGTCTACACACTACATACATGGAGAAGCCATGTATATCAAAAAAATTTTTTTAATTGGGAAAACAAATCTTCCCAATTAAATTTTGGCTTAAGGGTAAGTATTATACTCTTCTAATTCTGTGGTATTCCTATAGTGACTAGAATAGTTCTGAACACAGTAAGCATCCTTGTAGCATGTTAGTCTGTTGAGGGCAGGAAATAGTAATTTTTTTATCCCCTATTCCTAGCACAGTACACACAGTAGGCACTTAAAAATACATGTTGAATTGAACCGAATAAATATTTGTTGAATTTTACATAGTAGAAAGCATTGACTAAGCCTTAGCTTTAATCCAACCATTAAAGTAACATGTTGATTTTATTTATAGGAGAGATTATGGCCTTCACAGAGTATTACCAGTGAAGTTAAAGCCACCTGAGCAATGCACCCCAAATGAAGAGAATATGGATTTAGTCACAACATATAAACAGGATTACAATCCCTTCCCTGTCTGTCGAGTAGATCCTGTCAGACCACGTGAAAACAGATATCCATGTAAAGAGAGGATGGAATCTCTGGCCACATATAAAGGTATGATCATACCCTTATTGTTTTCTTTGGGAAGTTCTCTTACCAGGTCATTCCACTTAGATCAGAAAAAAATTTATTGACATACATGGCTGCTCCAGAGAAGTGTGAATAGGGATGCTGCTCCAGAGAGGCAGTAGTGTGAGAGAGTGAGGAAGACCTGGGTTCAGTCTTCCCTTTGACGAATATTGGTTGTGTGATTCGTGGCAAGTCAATAAGGAGTCTAAGAATATAAATTGCAAAGAAGCTACTGTTCTGCATTGATAGAGGGGAGGGGATTTCCTTAAAAGGAGTTTCTTGCACCAATAAAATACATTCCCAGACCAAAAAAGAGGTTGTCCTTAATTTGCTTCATTTTCAAGCTAGTATTTCAAGTTCAAGTTAACATTAGTTAACTTGGTTATGTACCTGATGTAATGACTTCTAATGTAAGCTCTTTATCATTGTTACCTCTATCAGGTTTAAATTTGGAGCAAACAAGCATGGAACAATATACTGTAAATACTGAGCACCCATGAACAGGGCATATTATCATTATTAGACAAATCCATGTTACCCTGACATGTATGTAATGATGTGAATGATCATTATTGTGTTATGTAAGTAAATGTTATATAAGTAAATAGTACTTTTAAAAAATGACCAAACTAAGCCTGGTTGAGTTTGGGGTGTGGGATGGAGTAAAGTCCTGTTTCATTACACCTTGTGTGACTCTTCACACCTCAACACTGGGAGGAGAAATATTTCTTGGATTTAGAGGCAATGTGCTAGAATGAATAGAGTATTGGGCTTAAAATCAGGAACATCTGGATTTGAACCCCACCCAGCCTCACGTACTTACTAGCTTTTTGATCCTGGGAGAGTCTTTTTAATCTTCCTGGGACCAGTTTATCTCATCTGTGAAATGAATAGTCTAACTCAGTGACTCTAAGGTCCCTTCCATGTCTCTGCCTATTCCTCTCCAACTCTAACTCAAAGGGAAGAACTCTTATGTCCTCCTTTTTAGTCCCTATTGCTCAAAGAAGACTAAATTAAAAAAGGAAATGTGGATCTATCTGGAGTCTCGCCTCAGGTCCTCTGCTTCACAGATACTTATATGTCTAACAAGGCTCAGCCTTGAGCGCTAGCAGTGTTCAAGACCCGGGGTCAAATCCTTGCTCTTCTTACTTCCTAGCTATGTGACCTTGGGCAAGTCACTTTCTGAGTCTCTTTTCACTTCAATTTCCTCATCTACAAACCCAGGGGGTTAACTTCTGATGTTCTATAAGGTCCCTTCCATCTATAAATTGTATGATCCAACAGTCTTCACTACCTGTTTCCTGAACCTCAGGGCTATCTTAGGGAATCTTGTGCATGTAGTAGGTGAAAGCAGCTGTTAGGTCCCTCAAGTTTAGCTCCTTGTGTGTTAAGGAAAATCTATAAAATCTTATGTATTTATTTTATTAAAAATTTTTTAATGCACCAAATGGCAGAACATCCAAATTCTTTTTTTTTTTGGGGGCAGTCTGGATTAAGTGACTTGCACAGGGTCACATAGATACTGAGTGTCTGAGGCTGAATTTAACTCAGGTCCTGTTGCTTCCAGGGCTGTTGCTCTATCCACTGTGCCACCTACCTGTCCCTAAAATCTTTTTTAAAATGCATATTAACACTTTCTAAAAATACACAATATATCAAGATACTTTTCAAAGCAAATATACAAAAAGCTGAGAGAGCCAAGCTCTGTTTCAAATAATCTGTATGAAAAGTTGCTATGGGATCCCTAATTTGGAAAATTTGCAAGGGGGTGGGGTGGGTTGATCATTTAAAAGTCATCCATAACTGAATAATTTAACCATATATTACTTTCTTTCCCCTTCTACCTGCCTCCCATCTTGGAGAATTTTCTTTTTGGTCTTTTTCCTTTTGTTTTCTCTTAAGTTTAGTTTAGCTTGTTTGGGAAGATATGATATACCTTAAACAATACCCTTGCATGTATGCACCAGTTAGGTTAGCGCAGAGAGAAACCCATGCCATGATCTTCCTAGCGCTGATGCTTCCTAGAGCTTCAGGTGAGAGAGGATAGATAAAATCAAAGCAGTCTCTAGGCTGTAGCATTTAAGGCTGTAGTTTAGGCACTGGGAAGGTGTTCAGGTGAACATTCCAGGATTAGTTTTCCTCCCCTTTATGTGAGTGCTCACATGTGCTCAGAACTGTAACAGAAATTTTAGAAGGTGTTCAGGGACCATTCTTACCTTATCTTATTATTTTATCACCGAGTCAGGTGACTTTTTTTTTCTGTTATAATTCATTTGCTGCATTAGTAATTTCCCTTGCAGCTTCACTATTTTATGGCACAACTTCTTCCTCCTTCCAAATGGGGATAAAAAAGGCAGGGAGGGATAAAGACAAAGATCGTTAAAAGCCTCATTTCTTATAGGCAATATGCACGGAAGTTCTGCCTACATATTCACTCCCCTTACATTTACTCCATAGGAACCATATGTAAATCTTTCCCTTTATCACTGTTAGGGTCAGCACCTTTGCTGCAGCACAGGAACGCCAGTAAAATACACTGGAGCAGCATTTGGTTGTAATTTGTGGTATTTTCAAAACAATGTGAATTTGGAAAGATGTGAAGTATAATTATTCAGTGCTGTGGCTCTGCATTGAGCTTTGTGTTCAGTCATTTTTCAGTGGTGTCCAACTCTTCATGACCCTCTTTTTGGGGCCTTTCTTGGCAAAGATACTGAAGTGGTTTGCCATTTTTCTTCTCCAGCTCATTTTACTGGTGAAGAAACGGAGGCAAATAATAGGGTTAAGCGACTTGCTCAGGGTCACACAGCTAGTGTTTGAGACTGGATTTGAACTCAGGTTTTCCTGAGGCCCAGGGTTCTATCCACTGGACCACCTAGCTGCCCCTGCATTGAGTTACTTTATCTCTTTTTTTGTTTTATTTTTTATTTATTTATTTTTTTTGGTGAGACAGTTGGGGTTAAGTGACTTGCCCAGAGTCACACAGCTAGTAGAGTTACTTTCTTTTAAAAAAAAATCTGTAGTGTATAAAACAAAATCCCTCCTCTGTGTCCTACCTGCCTACTCCCTTTGTAAAGGATGGTTTTTCTGAATACCTGATCAGTGCCCTGGCTTTACTAAACTCCTTTGGGTGAATTGTTTATACTGTGAAATTGTGTAGGCTTTCAGGATCTGAGTGCAAGGGGATATCACAAGTGTTTTACATATGGAGTGGTAGAGAGGAGAACAGTACAAAGGATAGTTCAAAGTTTGGGAACTTGACTTCTTAACACACCATCTATCACGTGGGAAGGCCTGTAAAGTTCCTGATCTCCTTCTTGTTACATCTAGGGAGAATGCACAAGCACAGCACCCCATTTGACTGTCATCTTAGTTGACTGTGTTGAAGTCTGCCTGTGGAACATGTGGTTTGGATTCCAGAGAAGGTCCCCTCTCAATTCACCCTAATGCTTTCAAGATGCTGATGTAACCATTAATTTCTCTGGGAAAAAGATTAGGCTTTCAATTAAAATGTAGCATATTTTGAATACATGGTAGTCTCGTTGGCCTAAAGTAAACTTACAGTGTGTCGGGGGGACTGCACACGTGCAGCTGGATAAAACTGAAGTTTCCCATCCCATGCTTTTTCTCTCTTCTTAAGTAAGGCAGTAAGCTCAGTGAATTCCCAATGCAGTCACATACAGTGATGTCAGAACCTTGGAGTTTCAGGGAGTTCACTTGGGTTCATATCAGTTATTTCAAGCCTGATAATTTATGAGAAGTTTATCAGAAATTCTGACACCTAATACAGCCTTGTGGCTCTCTATAGCCCAGCACTCATTCAGGAACCTTAGGGGACTGATCCACTCTCTTCCCTCCTTCACATTTCCTTATAGGCTATGTCCAACTCTTCCAAACAAATTTCCTCCTTTTGGGGCTTTTTTATTAGAAAGTCTGTGTGAGGGCCTGAAAAAAAAATCTTCCATACATAGCCATTTAACTCTTTTGTGTGTGTGTTGGGAAGACTTCCCTAGTAGGATGTTTTAAAATGGGACCTTGGGCAGGTAAGTCATCAAACCTTCCTCTGCCTGTGTTACTCCATATAAAAAATGGGGTTACCTAGGTTGTACATAAGGTCCCTTCAGCTCTCACAATCTATAATTCTATGATTCTTCAAACTTTGGACTTTCAAATGAGGTTACCTAGTTGGTACAGAAAGTCTCTTCAGCTTTCACAAGCTATAATTCTATGATTCTTCAAACTTTGGACTTTCAAGAGTCTTATGACCTTTTGATTTACAACTTATGAGACCCTCTGGAGACTTATAAGTGAAAGTCTAGGTGTGGGGTCTTCTGTTGCACACAGGATGGTAGTGATGAAGTTAAGTTGTTTAAATACTCATTGTCATTTTGCTTCTTCTTATCTCCCATTTCTTGGTCACCTTGAGAACGTGTGAAACGATGTGTTCTTGTATATGCTTCTCAGAGGAGCGTCTACTGGCTTCGCACCTTGTAAATAGAGGGACCTCAGTTGAGGTCTTTTGGATGACTGGGGGGTCTAGTCAGTGACATTTTGCATATAAAGTCGCACAGCCAAGGATTCTGACTGTCTTCGCCATAGACAATGTGAAAGGGCACTGGACTTGGAGTTGACTGAGGTCAAAGTCTAGCTTGTCTATATACTAGCTGCATGGACTATATGAAAGCTTCATAAATGTGTCTGTGCCTCAGTTTCTTCATTGTAAAATGGGGATGATAATCTCTGTGCTTTCTTACAATGTTGTTGTGGGGATTAAACAAGGTGTTGGTAAAAAAAATGCTTCATAAAATAAAATACTGTATAAATGTCAGCTGTTGCAATTTTTATTATGATAGAGAGATGAGACTCTCATGTCAGAGTCTCTTCCCTGGTGGCTGCATGCCCAGCTTTCCCAGCCTTCTCCAGGAAGTCATTCCCACCTACTTGGAAGAGGTAGTGGTAATTTTCTTCTGGTCTGCATTCTCTATGAAATGTGGTGGTGGTGGTGTTCACTTACCACCTAACCAAATAACATCTATTTCTCATGGCAACATACTTATTCAGTATTCTGCCTTTTAAGTCATTTGTCTTTTTAGAAAGCTAACTTATAATATTGCCAGGCTTAGATTATAAGCTCTTTGAGGTAAGGGTCTCTGTAGCTCTTAGGTGGTGCAGTGCATAAGAGCTTTAGGCCTAGAGTTGGGAAGACCTGAGTTCAAATCTGGCCATTTCCTAGCTGTGTGACCGGGTAATCACTTAACCTTTGCCTCATTTTTTTTCATTTTCCATTTTTTTCCCATTATATATATATACATATATATATATATATATATATGTATATATATATATATATAAATTTATTTATTTTTAGTTTTCAACATTCACTCCCACAAGTTTTTGAGTTCCAAATTTTCACCCCATCTCACCCCTCCCCCACCCCAAGATAGCATGCATTCTGAATATCCTTTCTCCTAGTCTGTCCTCTCTTCTATCTCTACCCTCTTCTCGTATCCCCTTCCCCTTCTATTTTCCTGTAGGGCAGGATAGACTTTTGTACCCCATTTCCTGTATTTCTTATTTCCCAGTAGCATGTGAAAACATTTTTTTAAACATATGTTTTTAAAACTTTAGGTTTCAAATTTTCTCCTTCCTCCTCCCCACCCACCCTCATTGAAAAGGCAAGCAACTCAATATAGGTTGTACATGTGCAGTTATGCAAAACACTTCCATAGTAGACATGTTGTGAAAAACTAACTCTATTTCCCTTAATCCTGTCCTGCCCTCCCATTTATTCTATTCTTTCTTTTGACCCTGTCCCTCCTCAGAAGTATTTACTTCTGATTACCCCTTTCCCAATCTGCCCTCCTCTCTATCATCCCCCTGCTCTCTTGTCCCCTTCTCCCCCTATTTTCCTGTAGGGTAAGACAGATTTCCATACCCAATTGAATGTGTATGTTATTCCCTCCTTAAGCCAAATCCTATGAGAATAAGATTCACTCATTCCCTCTCACCTTCCCCTGTTTCCCCTCCACTGTAAGAGACTTTTCTGTTTTTTTTGTGAGATAATTTACCCCATTCTACCTCTCCCTTTCTTCTCTAGTATAATCCTCTCTCATCCCTTAATTTTATTCTCCAGATATGACCCCTTAATCTTCAACTCACCCTGTGCTCTATCTATCTATCTATCTATCTATCTATCTATCTATCTATCTATCTATCTATCTATCATACATAATTTTTTTCCTCCAACTACCCTAATACTGACAAAGGTCTCATGAGTTATAAATATCATCTTTCCATGCAGGAATGTAAACAGTTCAATCTTAATAAGTCTCTTATGATTTCTCTTTCCTGTTTACCTCTTCATGTTCCACTTGAGTCCTGTATTTGAAAGTCAAATTTTCTATTCAGCTCTGGTCTTTTCATCAGAATGCTTGAAAGTCCTCTATTTCACTGAATGACCATTTTTTCCCCTGAAGGATTATACTCAGTTTTGCTGGGTAGGTGATTCTTGGTTGTAATCCTATCTCCTTTGCCCTCGGAATATTATATTCCATGCCCTGTGGTCCTTTAATGTAGAAGCTGCTAAATCTTGTGTTATCCTGATTGTGTTTCCACAGTACTTGAATTGTTTCCTTCTGGCAGCTTGTAATATTTTCTCCTTGACCTGGGAACTCTGGAATTTGGCTATAATATTCCTAGGAGTTTTCCTTTGGGGATCTCTTTCAGGAGGAGATCTGTGGATTCTTTCAATTTCTATTTTGCCCTCTGGTTCTAATATATCAGGGCAGTTTTCCTTGATAATTTCTTGAAAGATGATGTCTAGGCTCTTTTTTTGATCATGGCTTTCAGATAGTCCAATAATTTTTAAATTCTCTCTCCTGGATCTATTTTCCAGGTCAGTTGTTTTTCCAATGAGATATTTCACATTTTTTCTAATTTTTCATTCTTTTGGATTTGTTTTACAGTGTCTTGATTTCTCATAAAGTCACTAGCTTCCAATTGCTCTATTCTAATTTTTAAGGAAGTATTTTCTTCAGTAATCTTTTGGACTTCCTTTTCCATTTGGCCAATTTTTCTTTTTAGGGCATTTTTCTCCTCATTGGCTTTTTGGACCTCTTTTGCCATTTGGGTTAGGCTATTTTTTAAGGTGTTATTTTCTTCAGTATTTTTTTGGGTCTCCTTTAGCAAGCTGTTGACTTGTTTTTCATGATTTTCTTGCATCACTCTCATTTCTCTTCCCAGTTTTTCCTCTACTTCCCTTACTTGCTTCTCAAAATCCCTTTTGAGCTCTTCCAAGGCCTGGGACTGATTCATATTTTTCTTGGAGGCTTTGGATGTAGGAGCTTTGACTTTGTTGTCTTCTTCTGGTTGTATATTTTGATCTTCTTTTTCACGAAAGTAAGATAATATAGTCTGACTCTTTTTGCGCTGCTTGCTCATGATCCCGGCCAATTACTTGAGTTTTAAACTCTTTGTTAAGGTAAGAGTCTGCTTCCAATGTGGAGGGTGTACTGTCCCATGCTTCAGGGGTTTGTGTAGCTGTTTTCAGAGATACTTGTAGGTACCTGTAAATTTTCAGTTCTTCCAAGGTGGTATGATAAGGGGCGAGGTGTTTACTCCCTTCCTGGCCTGTGACCACAAGTACTCCTTTCTGTCCTGTAACTGTGAGGAGGGGCTCCTCTCTACAGCCACTCCAAGCTCCACCTTGATAGTATTCCTCCTCCCCCAATCGCCGCCGCCCAGAACTGTGACCCAGATCCAAACACAGGCAAAGCAAGAGATTCCTGCCTCAGCACTGGCAAAGACATCCCTGCAATCCCTCTCTGATCAGCCGCTGGATTCCCCCTCAGTCTGTGGGCCCAGAAGCTCAGGAGGCAGCTGCGCCCCCAGGGTCATGCTTTTGGGGAATGGAGCTGAGACCCCGCCTTCCTGTCTTAGCACTGCAGAAACAGACTTTTCCCACTGACCTTCTAAATTGTCTTTGCCATTTGTGGATTGAGGAGTCTGGAAACCTCCACAGCTGCCCGCGATTCAGTCCTCTGAGGCCTGCTCCAGGTTTGCTGCACCCTGCGTGCCCACGCCGCACTGAGCTCCGCTCCCAGCCCGGCGCGATACACCTTTCTGATCAATCATCCAGGTTGTCTTGGGCTGGAAGTTTGTTTCACTCTGTCTTTTTGTGGGTTCTGCTGCTTCGGAATTTGTTTAGAGCCATTTTTTATGAGTAATTGGAGGGGTTTTGGGGGGGAGCTCAAGCAAGTCACTGCTGTCACTCCCCATCTTGTCTCCGCCCACCTGCCTCATTTTCTACAGCTGCAGAGTGAGGGTCATAATAGCACCTACCCCATGGGTTGTTGTGTGGATCCAATGAGATGGCATTTATAAAGCGCTTAGTGTAGCGCCAGGCACACAGCGGGCACTTGATAAATGCTCATTCCCTTTCCCGTCCCCATTTGTTTAGCAAAGCGCATGTAATATTGGCACACTTAATGAATTCTTGGGATACTGATGATCTGAATATGAAGTTCACATCTGCAATTTACTTAAATTTTTTAAGTGATTATGTTGAAAAATATTTCTGTTGCCTACTTATTAAGCCATAATTCAATAATAATGTTAGATAGAAGGCAGGTAACACTGCATTTTACAGGCATGTTAATCCATTTGATCCTCACAAAATGAGGTATTTAAGGCAAGGGCTTATGTTGTTTATCTTCCTTTTACAGATGTGGAAACCGAGGCCTTAGTTAATTTTATAGACATGGAAATTGAAGTACTGTTATAATCATGTCATTCCTCTACTCAAAAGAACCTTAAATGGTTCCCCAATGCATCTTGAATAAAGTAGAAATTCCTGCTCCTAGAATTTAGAGACTTAAAAATTTAAGATAAGGACCCCTTATCATAAAGGCTTAACTAATATCCCACCTCCTTTCTCCCTCAAGAAGCTTTCTCAGCCCCCACCCCTTCCCTTGAGTAAAAATGAGCTTTCTCTCCTTAAATTTCTTGTTTTGCCTGGACCTATTCTTTGTCTGGCACAGTGCCTCCATGTAAAAGGCCCTTAATAAATGCTAGATAATTTAACTAAATTGTTTAACTCACCTTTTGTATCATAATGATTTGGTACTTCCTCTTCCTCTGCCCTGTTAGGCTATGATATGATCCTTAAGAGCAGGTGTGGGTCACAGCTGTCCTAGTGCTAAACAGAATGGCTTCTATATAGTAAACACTAATGAAGCGGCTTGCTTAAGGCCTCACAGAGCCAGGATGAAGCTAAGGCAAGATAGGAACCTAAATCTGTTGTTCATTCCAGTTCACCAAGCTGCTTCTTCAAGACTGTTATTATTATTGGGTGGTTATCATCATCTTCATCATGATCATTGTCATCATCTTCTAGATGCAAGGGGTGTGCAGCAGTGTGGGAAATAAAGCTTTCCTTTTTAGAAATGTTATATAACTGAAACAGTAAGCCCTTAATTCAACTAGGAGCTACGTAACCCTTGAGTTTTATGAAGCAAAAATATATTTAGGAGTAGATTACTAATTTTCAGTCATACCTATGTATGCAGGTATACACACACACATACACTCACACATACATACTGTGCGTGTCAGGAGGTATGACCTATGTTGATTTGTTTTCATTTCAGCTGATTACGTGCCCTGGAACCAACCAAAACGAGAGCTGATAAAACCAGATCAATCCTATCGCCCAGCAACAGCAAAATTTGATTATAGAACCACTCACCAGGATGATTTCCCCTTCAGGGGCCTAGTGACCACAGTGAGTTGCAAGCCCCATTATCAGCAAAAGACATGCTCCCTACCCTTGGAAGACTTGACCAACTACAGGCTGAATTACGTGGTGCATCCAGTAGAGAAACGAATTCCAATGGAGGTCAGCAAATTCAAGCCCTGTGACATCCCCTTTGATGGCCTCACTACTCACAAGGAGGCCTTTAGGGGATTGCTTGGGGAGCCTGCCAAGTCCCTGAAACCTGACCCCAAGATTGCCAGTTGTGACAGCCCCTTCTCCAACACAACTGAGTTTCGGGAAAAGTACCAAGTATGGCCAATACCCCACCTGTACTCTCGGCCCCCTGTGGTTTACATGCCCCCAGATGAGAAGATGGACCTCTTGACAACAGCCCAGGCTCACTACATTTATCATAAAGGGGCCCCTGCCCAATGCTGCCGTCCTGTGAAACAACCTAAGAAATCAGGGTGCTTTGAAGCCTCCACCACCAACAGGGATGACTTCAAGCAGTGGCCCACTGCCAAGCAAGATCCCATCAAGCCCATCGCTCAACTCAACTTGCCCAAGGATCCCATGGACTACCTCACCACTACCAAGACCTACTTTGTGCCTCATCCACCCATTATCACAAAGAGCTGTAAACCTTTCATTCCCCCTGCCCGGTGTCAGGTCCCTCTGATAGGCGAAACCACTTACAACATCAGCTATACTCCTAAAGAACCTGTCAAGTGCCTTGCTTCATATCCTGAGCCACCAGGCTACACTTTCGATGCAGTGGATGCATTTGGCCACAGGGTGTATCGCCCTGTGCCCCACTTGGACCAACTTGGCTCAAGGAAGAACAGTTGCCTTTCTACAGATAGACCAGATGGTCCCAACCAAAGGGAGCTGGCAGTGACAGCTTGATTCTTTTTCCTTTTTGAAAAATTTTTCTCACAAAATTTCTAAAATTCACAGTACTTATCATTCAGTCTGTTGAGATTTATTCCTAGAAAAACTTTGACCTTCTCAATAATTCCCAGGGGTTTGTTCCTGCTGGAAAATCTGAATAAATGACAATCAGTTTACTTTGGGAAAAGATAGTTAATCGCTGATGATTGACTAATTTCCTCTCTTGACCCTTTCCCCAAGCAACCCCACACTTCCCAAATCTCATGCTTTCTTATCTTTCTTAAAGATGGATGGGAGTGAGTTCTCTCAGAAGCTAATTTCTTACATTTGGATGTATTATGGTGATTCAGTCATTGTATTAATAATGAAAATACACTTGAATCCTGACAAGGTTAATGAATAAAACATATTTTGGGGAATTGGCTTTTTTAAATGATGTGTCTCTTCACACATACATTGTACAGGTAGTAGAATATGGGGAGAAAATTGGTACTCTTTGAAACTAAGAAACTTGTCGGGTTTGGCTTGAGTTTAAATGAGTTCCTATAATCAAACGTATTGGTGGAAACAGGCCTGAAAACTAATTATCCCAAATCCTAGGTCATTGCTTTTTCCATTAGACCAGAGTTTTACTACCTTTTTCCTTGCGTGGGTCACAGGACCATAGATTTAGAGCTGGGAGGGGGATCATTTGGTAACCTTGCACTAGGCTCTGTCTACCTGTAGGAAAGCTGCTGGCTTACTCTGATATAACCACTTTGGAAAGTTAATGAGAGCTGTGTGATGTTCAACATGCAGTGGTCTGTCTTGAAGAAGGAATGACGGGGCCTTCTCCAGTTGTCCTGAAGTATATCTGGCCACTGGAACCAAATGACTCTGGAGGAGAAAGTGAGGCCGGTGACTTTGCACAGCCCTTTCTCGCTTAAATCCAATTCACTTGCATGTCATGGTCCTCTGAGAACGAAGAAGAAACAACAACAACAACAGGAATGACAGCCTGAACTTTCTATTTAAACTCAGAGGATTACATGAGGCTAATCAATTAGATAGCTGGTGGCTCAGTAGATAGAGCATTGGGCCTGGAGTCAGAGGACTTGAGTTCAAATTCGGCCTCATACTTACTAGCAATGTGATCCTGGGCAAATCACTCATTCTCTGTTTGTTTTAGTTTCCTCATCTGCAAAATAGGGATAATAATAGCACCTACCTCCCAGGCTGATTTTGAGGATTAAATAAGAATAATTATAAAGTACTTAGCACAGTGTGTGGCACATAGTAAAGGCTATGTAAATGTTAGCTATTATTGAGTTTTTCTTTCAAAATTAAAAAAAAACCCCACTTTTATTATGAAATTAAATATCAACAAACACTAGTGTTTCAGTATACACAGAATCTGTCAGCTACTATCATCTTTTGTTTATGATCAATGTTGAGTGATGATTATTTATGAAACCGTGAACTTAATATACATAATATCTTTTTTTAAAAAAATATGTTAAGGCTGAGATTATTATAATCTAGTCACTGCTTAGATTGTTATAACAGAGCCAATAGCTTACTAATGTTCAGACTCCTTAAGAGTCTGCCCAATATGATGGATGTTCTAATAAACCTTGTCTTTGGCTGAAAGACTTGGGTCGAATTCTTTTGGACAGGACCCGTGGGTTGTGATATTGGGGTCCCAGCACCCTTAACCCCTAAACTGCATCATTTTGGTGGCCCGTACGGGGAGACTGCCTAACTCCAAGTTCTTCTCCAGCCAAGACTGGTTGGTATATAAACCTCCCCTGCCTCCTTTCTTGCTCTTCAGTTAGGGTTACTCTCCAAGCATCAAGGCTTGGTGATGCTTTTCTGGCAGACAGTTACGAGGCTGTCTCTCATTTGTCCTGATGCTCTCAGGCTCTTGATCCACTGGGTCGGTTGAGGGTCATGGACAGCATGGAGACAAGGATGGATGCCCTATCTGGAAGTGTATGCTCAATTCTGTTAATTCCCTCAGCACTAGGGAATTGGGGAAAACTGCAGTTGCTTTTTGGTTCCCTGAGGCTTACTTACTCCCTTCCCTCTACACCTCTGAATCCTCCTTCATGGAGGTTACAGGGAAAGTTAGAACAGCTAAAAATATCTTGGCATATTCAGGAGGTTTTGTGACTGATCATTAAGGAGTTTTGAAACACCTCTACAACCTGGTCACTCCCTTCCCTTGAGTCAAGAGCGTATCTGTTAACCCCTCTCATAGGAGAAGAGTTTCACCCTTTACCCCTCACTTTTGATTTCACCCTCCCCGACCTGGGAAAGGAGGGGCAGTAGCTACAGCGTGGGTCCCCCTGACAGTGGTCTTGGGCTCTAGGGCAACCTTTGCCTGGAAGCATCACCCAGGTTCCGCACATCCTGCTCAAGGTATTGAAGCTAGCCTCCAAACTTGGGTAAGCATGCTCTTTTAAATTTGTAGTTTTAACTGTTAATAATGAGATGTTGATTCTCTGTGTAAAGTAATTTGGAAGTGCATTTAACAAAACTGAAGTCACTTGATTGGTAATGGGTTTGTTTCAAGTTTCAAATTGGTGAACTTTCTGTATCAGTCATGTCAAGCAATTTTTCATAATTTGGTTACCACTAAAATAATTTAGCTATTGTTGGTTATTGTTTTAATGTGTAAACTAGCCAAAAATCTTGTTTGAGTTATGTATGGCTTGCTGAGAATTTGCAGGTGTATAGAAATCTCTAATGATTGGCTTTTTACACCAGGACAAATTTAAGTTTGAGATGTAAATCCTGGAAAAGTTTTTCCTAAGCTGTGATTAGTAAAACTTGCTGTTTGAGGTAAAAGCTCATAAGATTTTATTTTGAGTTGTCTGATGGATCATAATCCGTTGATAATCAATAATCTACCATCTGAGAGAAATGCCACAAGCTACTCAAAGAAGGTGATACTGGTGGGAAGTCAGCATTGGGAAAAGCTGAGAGGACAATTTTAGCCTCAGTCTAAGATGGGATCCTCCTGGCTCAGTTTCCCCATTATGTTCCTGTGTTACCCATCTGGCTATTCCTGAGTCTGGCTATGAGGTGGATTTGATAATTGCATGGTTGGAAAATTTAGTTTTCCAAACAGAGCTAAGGATGTTTTATCCTATCATTTGGGCCCTGCAGTCTTTTCTGTCAGATTTGTGTCTTCCAGACTACAGGCCATTCACTAAAGTTGGTAGCAAACAGCAGGTACCAGCCAGTGTCTCCCCATTGTTCCCTGGATGCAGCCTATGCTCTGTTCCAGTCAACCTATTTGGGACCCCCTTGAGGCAGGGACAGCTCTATGCCCCTTGCCAGCAGGAAGCAGTTTCAGAAGCCGAGACCCCTTTGCCCCTTACTCCAAAAGAATTTGGATCCCATTTGTTTGAGGGGGGGAATGATGGGATTGGGATCTGGGCCCCAGAAAGGAAGAACCCTGGACTTTCCCACATGGCCAAATCTCTGGAGTTTGCCTGAGGCTATAATCCCATCAACTGGCCTTTTATTTTGCCTACACCCAATCTCCCTTCCATTGTCTTATCTCCCTATGGGCCCCTGGCCATTTCCCACCCTTAATCCTATCTAGGCTCCATTCTCCCTTGGCCACCCCTGGAGTTCTATTACCTCAGACTACTTGGCCCCTCCTAGATCCCGCCCACAGTCTTTCTGTATATAAGGTCCATCTTGTCTCCATTAAGATGCTGGGATTCTTATAATCTAGCCACTGCTCTGATTCTTAAAATCTAGCCAATAGTTTACTAATGTTCAGACTCCTTAAGAGTCTGCCCAATATGATGGATGTTCTAATAAACCTTGTTTTTGGCTGAAAGAAAAAAATTATGTTAAATTTAATATAGTAGTAACAACGTTGTCAAGGGAATCTTGATATTCTTGGCCAAAAGAACTCAGGAAAGAAGTTATTCAAGAACTGAGAGACAATATAGGATAATAGAGTATTTTGAGTTGAGACTAGAGTTCAAATCCTTGCTCAGTAACAGTGGGCTCAGGAGCAAGTCAGTTTGCCTCTGCCATCTTCAATTCCTTTATTCATAAAATGGAGATAGTATTACTTGCAGTATCTGCTTCACAGGGTTGTGATGAAAGTGGCTTCTAAAGCCTAAAATGCTATAAAAATGTGAGTTTTTATAATTTTTAGGCTCTTCAAATGAACAGCCCGGGGATATAGTGAATGGAAATAGATCATCACCTGGAGTAATTTTCTAGTTAGCCTTTTTTAAAAATGGGAGGAGGAATACACTTGAGTAAAGAAACCAATAGGTTTCATTGATCAATCCCTTTAAAGATGCATAGAGTCACCTAAGTTGGGCCTATTATTATATTTCAGTGATAACTTGTGGGAAGTGGCTGCAGTTGCATGTCGGGCTAGAGCAGAGGTTCTCAAACTTATTTGGCCTACCATTCCCCTTAAAAAACCACCCCAAACCCCCAAAACTCAGTGCCCCCCCAAAAGATCTACTTTCTTTAACCCTTTAATGCATTTCAAAAAATATAAATAAAAAAAGACATCTTAAATTTAATAATTTATTGTAAATTTGTGGGTTTTTTCCTGAATTGAAATTTTGATAACACAATATCACATGATGTAACCATGTAGTATTGTATTGTAAACAAGTCATTACATGCACATATTCCTGTAGATTCATGCTGAATTCCCTGACAATGTGTCACATGCTCACCTCACTTGCTTATTAAGACCTGTCAACAGACTTGGCCACTGGTTGGTTATAACTTGCATTTTGTGTGTTTATTTGAAAAATAATGTAATCACTATGATTTTAACTCTGTTACACAACAGATGAAACATGTACAAACAGTTTTTCAAAATTTCAAATTATCTCCTCTTTTTTGCTTATGCTTCCACCACCTCCTTATTTTCATTCATTACCCCCCCCCAATTGCACTGGAGGCTAATACTTCCCCCTTTATCAGTCCAGCATCCCCAGGAGGTGGTATTGCCCACTTTGGGAACCCATGGGCTAGAGGAAGCCATGTCAAAGCCCCATAGCATAATCTTTTCCTGTTACCTCCCATGATGTTAGTGAGTATCCCTTTACAGTTTCCAAAGTATAGCAGTTCTTTTCATTTAAGACATACTGACTCTGGATCATTTTAATTTAGCTTCAGTACTCTGACCTTAGATCCTTATTACCATCCATGGGAAGTAAAAAAAAAAAACAACACAAAACAGAACAAAGGTACTATCTATGCACAAAGTGTGAGGCAAAATATTTGGATTCCAGAACCACTACCCACAAATATTGAGGGAGGTTGGAAAACTGTGATAAATCTAGTAAGGTAAAGTTTTGCTGGAATAAATATATATCTGGGTTCAAAAAAATCTGGGTTCCCAAGTACAGGGTTAGAGGAGTCATGGGTCTATAGTGTTCACATAAAAAAAATTTGGAAAGTGTTAATGAACTTATAAGCTCAATATGAGTCAGCAGTGAGATGTGGGTGCCTAGTCAACTCCATATTTTTAAAAATTATGTTAAATTCCTACTAGTCAATAAACATTTATTAAGTTCTTTCTATGTGCCAATCACTGTGCTGAGTGCTGGAAATACAAAAAAAGGTGAAAGACAGTTCTGTTCTCAAGGTGATCACATTCTAATACAAGTCACTGTGCTAGGCACTAGGGATACAAAAGAGATAACCGAGTCATAGATTTTAGTCTAGAGGAGCTTTGACTCTAATAGGAGGATAAGACAAATACTTAAATACCTGTGATACAAGTATGAATATGATAACTGCCTAGTAGAAAGTCAGCAGAGAAGGGTGAG